CATCAGCATCACCATCATCATAGTCATCATCATCATCATCCTCATCATCCTCATCATCCTCATCATCCTCATCATCATCATCATCATCATCATCATCATCATCATCATCATCCTCAACATCATCATCATCATCAACAACAACAACAATAACATCATCAGCATCATCAGTATCATCATCATCATCATCATCATCATCACCATCATCATCATCATCATCATCATCATCACAACCACCACCACGATCATCATCATCATCATCATCATCATCATCATCATCATCAGCATCATCATCATCGTCACCATCATCGTCATCATCATCATCACGATCACCACCACCACCATCATCATCAGCAGCATTATCATCGTCGTCGTCATCAGCAGCAGCAGCATCGTCGTCCTCCTCCTCCTCCTGCTCCTCTTCCTCTTCCTCTTTCACTTTCTCCTCCTCATCTTCGTCCTCCTCCTCCTCCTCCTGTTTCTCCTCCTCCGCCTCCTCGTCGCCGTCGTCGTCGTCCGTGTCGTCGTCGTCGCCATCGCCGTCGCGTTTGTTCCCCTGTCCCTTGGCCTTTCGCCTCTCCCCCTCCTTTCACTCGGGGGGGGTCCCGGGGGGACCCGGATCAGAATACTATCCCCCAGGGCGGTCATGAGGCTCACCAACGCCCCAAGACGGACCCAGAGTGCCCCCAGACGGCCCAAGAGGGCCCCGAATCGCCGAACGATCGCTCCAAGAAGCACCAACAGCATCCCGAAGAGCACTTCCAAGAGGGCCCCAATAGACCTTCCTTCATTTCCCCCATGTTTTTGAAAAATATGGGCGTTCTCACCTTTTCCTCGTTTGACCCCCCTTTCCCTGGGTCAGTCGCCGCTCTCCCCCCTTTAAGGGGGCCTTCCTCTCCTCCTCCTCCTCCTCCTCCTCCTCCTCCTCCTCCTCCTCATCATCTCATCATCATCATCCTCCCCTCCTCCTCCTCCTCCTCCTCCTTCCTCCTTCCTCCTCCTGTCCTCCTCCTCATCCTTCTCCTTCCTCCCCTCCTTCTCCTCCCTCCTTCTCCTCCTCCTCCTGCTCCTGCCCCTCCTCCTCCTCCTCCTCCTCGTCCTCCTCCTCCTCCTCCTCCTCCTCCTCCTCCTCCTCCTCCTCCTGTCGTCGTCGTCGCCGTCGCCGTCGCCATCGCCGTCGCCGTCGCCGTCGCCGTCGCCGTCGCCGTCGTCGTCGTCGTAGTCGATGTCGTCGTCGTCGTCGTCGCGGTCGTGGTCGTGATCGTCGTCCTCCAGGGTCGGTGGCACTGGCCGTAAGGCCTTCACAATTCATGTTTCAACGCATTCGCTGCACCAGCAAGTCACATCCATGCGTTGCTCTGGAAATACCGTGGCCATCGTCCGCCGCAACGCAGCTGTCACTAGATCCAGCTCACGAAGGAGGAACGAGGGAAAAAGAAAGTCCACCTTTCAAGGGGGGACGAGTCGTGTCACCAATCTACTACCGATTGAAATGATTCGCCTGGGGCTGCTGTGATATTGAGCGGAGCGCGCGAGCAGAGGTCGAGGGAACGGCATCAACACGCTCCTGCGAAACCTGGCACGCGAGCAGAGCTGAATGCCTCGCCTGGGTGGTAATGCTACAAGTGCCTGGCCTGAACGAGGGAAAGGAGGAGAAGGAGGGCAAGGATGAGAAGGGTACAGGGTGCTGCGCACAGGACTTCGTCTCTGACTGAACAGGATAGCCATGACGTTTCCCACGCGCGTGCCGCACTTCTTGGGCAGGTACTGGGCGGTCGCTTGGCGGCCTATGGGTCCCCGACTGGCACGGCACGAGCACACGGCCAGTGCCCGGCAAGCATGCTGCTGCGCCTGGCGCAGAGCTAGCAGGAGCGTGACCTCCTCCCCATCCTCCTCCTCCTCCTCCTCCACCTCCTCCTCCTCCTCCTCCACCTCCTCCTCCGCCTCCTCCTGCTCTGCCTCCTCCTCCTCCTCCTCCTCCTCCTCCTCCTCAGCCTCCTCCTCCTCCCCCTCCTCCTCCTCCTCTTCCTCCTTATCCTTCTCTTCCTCCTCCTGCTCCTCCTGCTCCTCCTGCTCCTCCTTCTCCTGGTCCTCCTCCTCCCCATCGTCATCAGCACCATCATCATCAGCAGCAGCACCATCATCACTGCCACCACTAGCATCAACACCATCATCAGCCGCAGATTCATCGTCATCAGCACCAGCATAATCGTCATTATCATCAGTAGCAGTGTCGTCATCATCGTCACTAACAAGAGCAACAGTATCAGAACCGTCGTCATCAGCAGCAGCATCGTCATCATCAGCACCACCGTCACCACCAACCTCGTCAACACCATCACCATCGCCATCACCATCGTCATCATCATCACCATCAGCAGTATCACCATCAGTGTTATCATGTCCAGCATCATCATCATCATCATCATCAGCAGCATCATCATCATCTGCATCAGCATCATCAGCAGACTCGTCATCATCTTCGTCGTCACCATCACCGTCATCAGCATCAGCAACAGCATCGGCATCATCGGCATCAACGACATCATCTTCAACATCACCATCATCGCCATCATCAGCATCGTCACCATCATCATCATCATCATCATCATCATCATCATCACCATCACCATATCCATCATCAGCAGCATCGCCCTCCTCATTGGCATCAACAACCGCACCATGCTCAGCATAATCGTCAACAACAACATAATCATGAGCAGAAGCATCAGCATCAGCATCATCAGCAGCATCAGCACCAGCAGTATCATCATCGTCAGCATCATCATCATAGCCACCACCATCATCATCATCATCATCATCATCATCATCATCATCATCATCATCATCGTCGGCAGCAGCATCATCAGTACCACTTATCGCCATCAGCATCGTCATCATCAGCATCAGCATCACCATCATCATCACCATCGTCACCATCGTCAGCATCATCGTCATCATCATCAGCATCACCATCATCACCATCATCATCAGCATCGTCAGCATCATCGTCATCATCATCATCAGCATCATCATCATCATCATCATCGTCATCATTATAATCATCATGGTCAGCATCGTCATCGTCATCATCATCAACCGCATCGTCAGCATGATCAGCATTAGAAGCAGAATAAGCAGCATACGTTTCGTCAACAGCATCAACATCATCAGAGTCGTCATCATCATCCTCCTCATCAGCATCGTCATCACCATAATAAGCATCATCAACAGCATAAGCGTCGTCATCATCATCAGCATCATCACCACCACGACCACCATCACCAGCGTCATCATGATCATCATCAGCAGTAGCATCAGCAGCATCATCATCATCATCATCATCATCAGCAGCAGCATCAGCATCAGCAGAAGCATCAGCAGAAGCATCATCATCATCATCATCATCATCATTAGCAGCATCATCATCATAATCAGCATCATCGTCATCATCATCATAATCAGAATCATCATCATCATCATCATCATCATCATCATCATCATAATCATCATCGTCATCACCATCCTCATCATCATCCTAATAATCATCATCAGTCTCATCAGCTTCATCATCACCATAATAAGCATCATCAACAGCATAATCGTCGTCATCATCATCAGCATCATCACCACCACGACCACCATCACCAGCGTCATCATGATCATCATCAGCAGTAGCATCAGCAGCATCATCATCATCAGCAGCATCAGCATCAGCAGAAGCATCAGCAGAAGCATCATCATCATCCTCATCATCATCATTAGCAGCATCATCATCATAATCATCATCATCATCAGCTTCACCATCGTCATCACCATCCTCATCATCATCCTAAGAATCATCATCAGCCTCATCAGCTTCGTCATCAGCACCATCATCATCATCAGCAGCAGCAGCATCATCAGCATCGTCATCATTATCATCATCGACATCATCACTCCCTCCACTCATCCCTCCTTCCTACTCCACTCCGTCTCCTCCCACCCTCATCCCTTCTTCTTCTTTCTCCGAGCAAGCATTCAGCAAGCACTTCGGCGGCAGATCCAGCAACTGGACAGGACTTCAGCAAGCGCGCACTGCGGCCAGGACAGAAGCGCCTAGCGGGCAGTTTGAAAAGTGGCGAAGGGGCTGGGAATAGCCAGGACCCCCAGCATGCCCCCCCAAGAGAGCCCTGAGACCCCCGAGAGGCCTCCAAGAGGACCCCAGGGGCCCCCCCAACAGGGCACCAAGACGACCCGACGGGGCCCCTTTTGGCCACGGCTTTGGGCTTCCCACATGGACGAAAAGCGCAAAAAAAAGCTTCTGCGACAGGACATCCAGGGCTCCCCACAGGTCGGCGGCGCGGCGTAAGCCAACGCATCAAGGAGATCGGGGCATGGGCAGCAGTACGGCACCAAGTTGGCGGGCCCCGCAGACCTGCTCGTGCGGCTGCAGGTTCGGATTTTTCTTGTACTCGAGATCGCCAATGGAGCGAGACCTGAGAGGATAATCTCTCTGCGGGGGAAGGAGAGGAAGGAGAGAAAGGAGGAGAAGGAGGAGAACGGGGAGAAGGAGGAGAAGGAGGAGGAGCAAAAGGAGGAGAAGGAGAAGGAGAAGGAGGAGGAGAAGGAGGAGGAGGAGGGAGGAAGAGAAGGAGGAGAAGGAGGAGGAAGGGATAGGAGGAGGAGGCAGGAGGAGGAGGAGGAGGGGAGGAAGAGAGGAGGAGCAGGAGGAGGAGGGAGGAGGAGGAGGGGACGAGGGAGGAGGAGGAGGAGGAGGGGAAGAGAAGAGGAGAGGAGAGGAGAAGGAGGAAAAGGAGGAAGAGGAGGAGACGGAGGAGTACGGAGGAGACGGAGGAGGAGGAGAGGACGAGGAGGAGGAGACGGAGGAGGAGGAGGAGAAGGAGGAGGAGGAGGAGAAGGGAGGAGGAGGAGAAGGAGGAGACGGAGGAGGACGGAGGAGGAGGAGGAGGAGGAGGAGGAGGAGGAGGAGGAGGAGGGACACCATGGGCTTGTGCCCCACACCGCCGCAGCTCGTGCTCGAGCTCTCGGCAGGCTCGTTCCTCCGCCCTCCGCCCTGGCTCTCCCAGGCTCCCCCACGCCTGCGGTGCCTCCCCGGGTGCCGGGGCGCCCAGCCGCGCACGGGGGTGCCAGCTGCCCCCCCTGGCCCGCCCTCCTGTCGGCCACCCGCAAGCGTGGCCCTGGGCAAGACTGACCTCGTCCTCCTCGTTTTCCTCCTCCTCCTCCTCCTCCGCCTCCTCCTACCTCCTTTTCCTCTTCCTCCTCCTCCCCCTCCTCCTCCTCCTCCTCCTCCTCTTCATCCTCCTTCTCCTCCTCCTCCTCCCCCTTTCTTTTTCTTATCAGTATTATGAGTATTCTTCTTCTTCGTATTATTATTACTCGTCTTCTTCTTATGTGTCTTATTATTCTTTTATATTAATATGCGTAGTATTAATATTATTCTTATTCTTGTTATTACTCATATTATTACAACTATTAGTAGTATAATTCTTATCCGTATTATTAATATTCTTCTTATTCGCCTTCGTCTGCTTCTTCTTCCTCCTCCTCCTCCTCCTCATCCTCCTCCTCCTCCTCCCCGCTCATCGGGCCTGGACCCTTCATACTCACCTCCCGCCTTTCAGCTACAATAAAAACGGGAGGGAGAGGGCCAGTTCCCACTGACCCCCTCCTTCGCGGCTTTCGGGGGCCGAGGGGGGACCGAACCTGGGCGTGCAGGCCGCTGCTATCGCATCCCCTCCAGCCACCTGGGGACCCCAGTATGCCCGCACCAAGGCTCCCTCTGGCGAAGGGTCACTCCCCTGAGGTCCGACGTCCCGAAAAGAACGAGACCCCGTGAAAAAAACACGACTGGTGCCCCAGGCCTCATCTCCCTGCGCCAGTTCTCGAGCCCGATGGACCTGTGAGGGCCCCGGGCCCCGAATCTGGCGGGCAACGCATGGGGGGCTACAGTCCAAGCATGAGCATGACAACGCACGTGAGGTCAACACTCCAGCTGGCAATGCATGATGAATTACAACCCCAGGACCGATAGCGGATGAGCCAGCACTCGCAAAACCGCTTTAGGGGCCCTAAGGCGGATTTTTGGAACGGCGTTCCAGAATCCGCCGCTGGAGCAAAGATACCGTATGGGAGACCATAGCCCCAGCATGAGAATGGCAACGCATGAGGGGCCACAGCCCTTGCATGAGCGTGGCACCGCACGCAGGGTCAGCACTCCATTTGTCAACGCATGAGGGGCCAGAGCCCTGAGACCGATAGCGGATGGGCAAGCACGCCCCGCTCCGCCTTCGGGGCCCGAGGGCTGCTTTTGGAGAGGTGGCCCAAAACCCGCCGCTTGAGCAAAACAGGCCCACTCGTGGGCGGAGAGCAGGCGAGGACGCATGGCTCGGGAGATGACAGCGCGTGAAGGCCCACAGGCCCGGCACGAGCACGGCAACTCATGAGATGCCACAGCCCCGGCATGAGCATGGCAGCGCATGATTACCTGCCTGGAACATATCCCTACCCCTGCGCTGGGCATCGCCTCATCACGATGCCGATCTTAGGCATCCCCTTCGTTTCTGAGGGCGCATCCCTGAGATTGTCATCGCCCTTTCGCGTGTCAATCTTAGGGATAGGGAGATAAGTTCGAGGCTGGCGACATAGAGGGGCCCCCGCCCACGGGCACGGCAGCGTAGAATGGGGCCAGCAGCAGCAGGGGAGCCGAGAACCCGATGCGGGCCCGCCACAGGGGCCCAGAGTGGGCGCGGCCCCATCTGGCCCTGCGGATCGGTACTCCGGAGTCCATAATAAAGCAGGGGGGGTCACATTTTGGCGGGGGGGTCTGACGTGAGCTGTCCTGAAGGGTTCGGGGGGGGGGGGGCAAAGCGCCGCCCCCTCATGGATGGTCTGGGGGGGGTCTAAAACTTCTGGTCTGGGAGGGTTGTGACCCCCTCCCTTTTACTACGAGATCTGGAGTACGCTTGAAAAAAATTCGAGCGGGTGCCCCAGAGTCAAGCTTGGTAGCACGAGCCGCGCACGTGGGCAGGTCTTCCCACACAGCGGCTCACTCGAACTGGTCCCTCCGCACCGCCCTGCCCAGACGAGGGCGCCGCGAAGGCCCTGGGGAACCATGTGAAAACGGATTGGCCAGCACGCCGAGCTGAAATTCCTGGCCTCGGGGCAGAGGCAGCCCCCTAATTCGCGAGCCTTATATAAAGGATTTCGTAAAACGTATATATATATATAACAAAGAAGCAAACAAGCAAACAAGCAAACAAGCAAACAAGCAAACAAGCAAACAAGCAAACAAGCAAACAAGCAAACAAGCAAACTAACTAACTAACTAACTAACTGACTAAGACATGCATAGGGACCAGCTCTTCTAGCACCTGCGCGTTCCGGAGGAGTAGGAGGAGGAGCAGCAGCAGGAGGAAAAGGAGGACGAGGAGGAGGACACTAGCCATCAGGTCTCAAGGGGTCAGACGTTACACCAGGTAAGCACCTCCGAAAGGACCTGTTGCACGAGCGACAGGGCGCACCTGGAACACACACACACACAGACACACACAAACTCTCTCTCACACACACACACACACTCACACACACACACAAAAACAAACTCACACACACACACACACAACCACAAACACAAACACACACACACACACATACACCTTCTTCGAGCCTCGAACAAGTCTTCGATACCTGCTGGTGCAAACAAGAGGTCAAGGGGGTCAAGGGATGAGGGTTGTTGTTTGACGCAGGCTGTGCTCCAGGATTTCTCCTACTGTGAGGCTCAAAGAGTTCCTAAGTGTTTAAATAAAAGAAAATACCGACAGTCATGACTCCACATACATGATAGGGTGCGGGCACAAGGGAAAACCTCATTAGCCCGGGACCAAGAGAGGGGACAAGGGGGGTGACCTCCAAGGCCCATTACGCAGCCTGAGTGCGCTGCGAAGCGTTCAGTTCCTCGAAGCATTCCAAATGTTCTCCCTCGATCATGGTAGAGGCCAGAGCTGGGAGGAGGGGCAGAGGGAGGGGAGGAGGAGGAGGAGGAGGAGGAGGAGAAGGATGAGGAGGAGGAGGAGGAAGGGGAGGAGGAGGAGGAGGAGGAGGAGCCCAGCGTAAGAAAGGAGGAGAAGGAGGAGGAGGCGCAGGAGGAGGCGCAGGAGGAGGCGCAGGAGGAGGCGCAGGAAGACGATAGAGGGCGAGGCGGAAGGAGGGCCGGGGAGACGCCCCCCCAGTGACTGCAGTGGAAACAAGCCCAGACCTCCAGCGGCTCGATTTGATTGAGAAGTGTGCCCCAAATCCCTCGATCCCTACTCCGGAAGACCAGTCTCTCCTCCAAGGCAAATATTTAACCGTCCCCTGGCCCGACAATCGGCCTCCGAGGGCCGAAGATGCGGAAAAAACTGCCGTCTCGAGCCGCTGGGTCTATATTTCATATTTTATGTACACATAAAAACCTATATATACATATATATATATTTACATATGTGTATATATGCATATACGTATATGTATATGTATATGTATATGTAGGTGTCTGTGTATATGTATATGTATGTATATATATATATATACACATAAACACTGCGGCGTTTTGCAGCCGAGGTTTCTATCTACGTTGGCGTGGAATCAACTCCTCCCGGCGAGGGTGAAGGCATGGTGGCTATGGAGGCAGATATGGGTAAGGACGCAATTCTCGTCGAGATTCGGAACGAGTCTGGGCGTCAGCACCTGTTCTTGGGAGAGGGGGCGTGTTGTTCCGCCTGCAAGACTCATCAACGATATTGCAATAAACCCTTCCTCTGAGCTCCCTCCTCAAAGTCCCCTACAAGGACTCATTTCCACTGACCCGTTTGAAGACAACCGTTTGAAAATCCTGAATTGCGCCAGATCACACTTCTTAAGAATTCAACGCCGAGAATCACCGTTTCTGTTGTGTTTTGATGATCTTGAATCGTGGCAGAACACCATCCCTGCGACTTCAACACCGCGAATAAACGTAAATGTCGTGCCCTGACAGTCCGACGACATCGTGCCAAAACAACAGATCTAGGACGTTAACCATTGAGAACTTTGAAACTGCTGTACAATCTCAAAAGCGAGTGTGCTGGGCGCCAAGGCGAGAGCCACATGTTGAAAAGGAGCCGCCCTCCATCCGAGAAACTCTTGCACATGCTCAAGACGACGCGGCGCTAAGGCGAGAGCCACAAATTGACAACGACCCGCCCTATATCCGTGAAACTCTGTTCAATGTGTTAAATGAATGTGCGCGGCGCCCACGAGAGAATGGCATTTTGAGAACGACCTGCCCTCCATCCGTGAAACTCTTGCGTTTTTGAAAAAATATGCGCGCGGCGCTTAGGCGAGAGAAACATGTTGAAAACCACCCGCCCTCCAACCGTGAAGCTCTTGCAAGCTTTAACTTAAAAAATAAAATTAAAGAAAAAAAAGAACAAAAAAATGCGCGTGGCGCTAAGGCGAGAGCCACATGTAGAAAGCTGCGCGCCCTCCATTCATGAAACTCTTGCAAGTTATAAGTTTCAAGATCACAAGCAGTGAGAAAGTCTCAGACGAAACGCCCAGTCCGCCCTTTTCGACCAGCCTTGGGGTGCGACATGGTGGAAATATTCATCAGGAAAAAGAATGGCGAAGGAGGAGGAGGAGGAGGAGGAGGAGGAGGAGGAAGGCAGCAGAGGCGGAGGAGGACGGGCAGCAGCAGGGGATGAAGGAAGATCGGCAGAAGAATCGGGAGGCGGAGGACGACGACGAAGGCGCATAACAGAATGAGGAGGAGAAGGAGGAGGTGGGACGATGAGAAGGGCGGGGATGGAGGAGGAGTATGGAGGGGGACGAGGGACGGGGAGGAGAGAGAGGGATGAGAAGGAGGGTAGAGGATGGATGATGGAGGGAGGGGAGGGAGGAAAGGAGGAGGCGGAGGGACAAGGGGGGAGAGCAAGAGGAGGAGGAGGAGGAAGAGGAGAACGGGAGGAGGAGGAGGAGGACGAGGAGGAGGAGAGCGGCAGCGCTCGCTGAGGGCGCGGCAGGTTGAGGTTGCCGTTGACCCGGTGCTGCACGGTGGAGCCGAACTGCGAGCGGGCAACGGAGCCGCCCGCCCTGACGGGAGAGGCGGAGAGCGAGCCGTGTCGTGACTCGTCGAACCTTTGTCTCCTCCTCCTCTTCCTCCTCCTCGTCCTCCTTCCTCCTCCTTCCTCCTCCGTCCTCCTCCTCCTCCTCCTCCCTCCTCCTTCCTCCTCCTTCCTCCTCCTTCCTCCTCCGTCCTCCTCCTCCTCCTACCTCCTCTTCCTCCCTCCTTCCTCCTCTCCTCCCCTCCTCTATCTCCTCCTCCTCCTCCTCCTCCTCCTCCTCCTCCTCCTCCTACTCCTCCTCCTCCTCCTCCTCCTCTTCCGTCCTCCTCCTCCTCCGAGCCATGACCGGCAGTCACGTTGATTCGCGGCGTTGCAACCCCAGGGACTGCGGTTTGGCACGATTGAGGATTCTCAAACGGTTCTCTTCCAATAGGCTTTCCCCGACATGAAACGAATATTTCAGGGACCTATGAGAAAGGAACTTGGAGGGAGGGTTTATTGCAACATCGTTGATGCGTCTCTGGTGTAAACTGATCCTCCTCCTCCTCCTCCTCCTCCTCCCCTCCCAGAAGCCTCCTCCCTCTCCTCCTCTCCTCCTCCTCCTCCTCCTCCTCCTCCTCCTCCGTCTCCTCCTCCTTCTCGTCCTCCTCCTCCTCCTCCACCTCCCCTCCTCTTCCTCCGCCTCATCCTCCTCTTGGCTTGTTCTGCTTCTTCCGGTCGAAGAGGCGGGCTGGGCGTTTCACCTGAGACTTCCTCACCATTCGTAATCCTGGAGCTGAAGATTTGCAACAGCTTGACGGATGGAGGGCGGGCCGCTTTCAAAACGTGGCTCTCGCCAAAGGGCCGCGCACATCCGTCATGAAACCTGGAACAGCTTCACAGAAGGAGGGCAGGCGGCTGTCAAAGTGTAGAATCTGGCTCTCGCCGTGGCGCCGCGCGCATCCGTCTAAGAAAACTGCTCGAGATTCACAGATGGAGGGCGGATCCTTTCCAAACTGTGGCTCTCGCCCTGACGCCGCGCACATTCGCTTTAAGAGTTCACAGCAGATTCAAGGATTCGGATGGTTAACGTCCCAGCAATGGTGTTTGGGCACGATGTCGAACTGCCAGGGCGCATCACTCACGTTGCTTCGTGGTGTTGAATTCCCAGGAACGGTGTTCTGCAAAGATTCAGGATCGTCAAGAAAAAACATTAACAGTGATTCGCGGCGTTGAAGTCCCAGGAATGGTTCTGGCAGAACTCAAGATCTTCAAAGGATTGATTTCCAACGGGGCACTCTCCTCGGTGAAAATGAATCCTCGTAATGGGCAAATGACGAGAGAACGTCGAGGGATGGTTTCCTGCAATGTCGTTGGTGACTCTTGGGTTTACACTTGTCCTCCTCCTCCTTCTCCTTCTTCTCCTCCCCCTTCTCCTCCTCCTCCTCCTCCTCCTCCTCCTCCTCTCTTCCTCCATCTCCTCCTCCTCCTCCTCCTCCTCCTCCTCCTCCTCCTCCTCCTCATCTTTCTCCCCCCCACCCTCGTCTTCCTCCTCCGAAGAAGAAGACGACGAAGACGACGCACCTCCGGATGCGATCCCTCTCACCAGGAAGGTTCGGCTTGTGGTCCTCGGACAGCGGGACGGCCTCACCGGGCGGAAGGGGCGACGGATGTCTGAGGACGAGGAGAAGGGAAAGGGGGAGGTAGTGGGAGAAGGGGCGAGGAAGGGGAGTAGAAAGAGGAGAGGGAGGAGGGGGGGGGTAGAAGGGCTAGAATACTCAGCAACGAAGGCTTCAAGGAGGATAGCACGAACAAGAGGAAGAGGAAGGGGGGGAGGTGGGGGAGAGAAGGGACCTGACATCTGGCGGCTCGATTTTGTCAAGAAGCGCAACAACCAAAACAGGCCTCCCGTGGTGCCACCAGCCAACAAAGAGCAACAGAAAGAACAAAAAAAACAGGAGCATAAACACCCACAAAAACCATTAATCAAATTAACAAAAAATCATCAAACAAAAAAAGGGCGAAATAGATATAAGGCAGCAAGCCTGGACAAGCACAAGAAAACAGAGAAAAAACAATAAAAACAGTAGCAGAAAAAAAAAATACACAAAGACAGACAACGCACAGAACAAGACAGCAAAAGAATGCAAATTGGCAAATAAGGACAAGAACAGAGCAAAAATAAACAAAACAGAGAACAAAGGAAAACAGAAAAAAAAAATTCACAGAGAAACGGCATAGTGCCCCCACACCTCTCGACCCCTTCCTTGGGACCGGCTTTCACCCCAGATCGTGTTTCACTGCAACGCAGCCCGAAGTTGGCCGCAAAGGCTCGACATGGCAAAAATCTGGACGTTTCGATTCCAGTCGAGCCGCCAAGTGTTTGGGAGTGGCGAGGAGGAGGACGAGGACGAGGAGGAGGAAGAGAAGGATAGCAATAACTATAATGAGCATTAGTACTACAATTAAGTTTTCCCAGTGCGACCCTACCTAGGAGTTGGAGCCTCTAGGAGCAGCAGCAATAGTGGATGCTGTGCTGCGCTATGCTATGCTATGCTCTGATCTGCTCTGCTATGCTATGCTATGCTATGCCATGCTATGCTATGCTATGCTATGCTATGCTATGCTATGCTATGCTGCGCAATTCTATGCTGGGCTAGGCTAGGCTAGGTTATGCTATGCTATGCTATGCTATGCTATGCTATGCTATGCTATGCTGCGCTGTGCTATGCTAGGCTATCCCATGCTATGCTATGATATGTTTTTGCTGTGCCTTCGCTTTTGCCTTCACTTGTGCCTTTGCTGTTGCTTTTGCTTGGCACCCAGGGAGCGCAACTGGGGGAACCGCGCGTTTGCTCTTGCCTTTGCTGTTGCTTTTGCTTGGCTCCCAGGGGACTGGGGGAACCGCCCGGGGCGGGCAACACTGCCCGGCCCCTTTTAAGCAAAGAGAGTAAGAACCCTTCTAGGCAGAGCCTAGGTAGGGAATAAATCGATAAACAATTGACAATAAATAAATTATCACAGTGCGACCCTACCTAGGAGTTGGAGCCCCTAGGAAAGCAGCATTAGTAGTAACAGTAAAGCTAAGCTAAAGCTAAGCTACAGCTAAGCTACAGCTAAGCTACAGCTAAGCTAAAGCTAAGCTAAAGCTAAGCTAAAGCTAAGCTAAAGCTAAGCCAAAGCTGAGCTAAAGCTGAGCTAAAGCTGAGCTAAAGCTGAGCTGAAGCTGAGCTAAAGCTGAGCTACAGCTGAGCTACAGCTAAGCTAAAGCTAAGTTCAAGCTAAGCTAAAGCTAAAGCTAAAGCTAAAACTAAGCTGAAGCTAAGCTAAAGCTAAAGCTAAGCTAACGCTAAGCTAACGCTAAGCTGAAACTAAGCTAAAGCTAAGCCAACGCTAAGCTAAAGCTAAGCTAAAGCTAGCTAACGCTAAGCTAAAGCTAAGCTAAAGCTAAGCTAAAGCTAAGCTAAAGCTAAGCTAAAGCTAAGCTAAAGCTAAGCTAAAGTTAAGCTAAAGCTAAGCTAAAGCTAAGCTAAAGCTAAGCTAAAGCTAAAGCTAAAGCTCCCAGGGGACTGGGGGAACCGCGGGGCGGGGACTGGGGGAACCGCCCGGGGCGCTTTACACTGCCCGGCCCCTTTAAGCTAAGAGAGTAAGAACCCTTCTAGGCAGAGCCTAGGTAGGGAATAACTGAATGGAAGAATAAGAAAAAGAAGAAGAGGGGAGCGCCCATGACTACCTGTGGCAGGGAGGGGGAGGGGGAGAGGAGTAGGAGGAGTCCCACTCAGCAAGGGGGGGAGGAAAGAGAGATCCCAACGTCCTTGAAGTACAACGCGAGCTCGGATGCTGCGCCGAGCCATTGCTCGCGAACGCGCCTGGATGATACCTGCAATCGAGAGGGACTCATCCCCCAGGGTGATGAAAATACAATGCAGCAAATCAATGCCGAGAGCGGTACTCACAAGTTCGGGAGCCTCAAGATCGGGGCCCTGCTCCGAGCGTGAACACACTAGATAGGCCCCCTGAGCTCCACGACACGGGGAGGAGGGGGAGGGAGGCATGCATTTAGGGGAAGTGGGCGAGGGCACTGAAGGTAGTGTATCAATGTATCCTCCAACTCCAGACCACAGAATCTACACGAACGAGTCGGAATAGAGTATCGAGCCGAGCGCCTCCGATGGTGACATCTTGTCTTGAGGATCGAGGAGAGGACGCACGGGGGGCGAACTTGGTTAGCACATTCATTCTTAAGCCAGTTGTGAACGCTTCGTGCTGGGAAACGCAACGCTGCGTCTGGATGTAGAGTACCAGCGTCTGCGGGTGGGGCCTGAAGTTCGTGCCGTGCCAAAACGGGGCATTTCAGACCAAAGTGTCCGTAACTGTCATGCTTCCAGCGGATACGCCGGTTGGATGGGGATCGCTGTTAGACCAGGCGCTGGAGAAGGCGCGTCTGTCTATCGTGTTGATGCTGATATCACTGCTACTGCTGTTCTCTATCCTCCCCATCTCCCTCATTACCATCACAATCATAAGTCCTCAATCCCCCTCACCATCCCCCTCATTATACTCCTGCTCCCCCTCCTCGTTTCTCCTGATCGTTCTGAACTTCATGCTCCTCATCCTCCTCCCTCTCCTCATCCCCCTTTTGCTCCTCGTCCTTCTCCTCCCCCTCCCCCTACCCATCCCTCCCTGATCGCTCCGACCCTCGTCACCCACATCATTCTGCTCGTCCTCCTCACTCTCCTCCTGCTCATGTGCCTTCCCCTAGTCCTCATCCTCCTCCTACTTTCTTCCTCTTCCTTCTCCTCCTCCTCCTCCTTATCGTCATCATCATGTTCAGCATCATCATGATGATCATCATCATCAGCAGCAGCAGCATCATCATCACCACCACCATCACCTCCTCCTCCTCCTCCTCCGCCTCCTCCTCCCCGCCCCTCCTCCTCCTCCCCTCCTCCTCCTACTCCTCCTCCTCCTCCCTCCTCCCTCGCATCTCCTCATCCGCCTCACCCCTCACTGTCCGCATCCCTGGCATCAGCTGGAAAGAAGCACGCGGCAAGTCGGGAAAAGAATAACCCCCACGCCTGACGGCCCCGCAGAGGACAGCGCGCTGTCCGCCGCGCATTGGGCGACCAACGATCACGCTGGGGAGCAGCGATGATCCCCTATTTCTTCCTCGCTCGTCTCCATCCTCTCCTCCCTCCTCCCCTCCTCCTCCTCCTCCTCCTCCTCCTCCTCCTCCTCGTCCTCCTCGTCCTCCTCCTCCTTCTCGTCCTCCTCCCCCCCCCAATCCATTTCCTTACAGATAACTCCTCCGTGTCGCGGTCGAAAAGGTGGGCCGTGCGATTCGCCGGAGACTCCATCGCCATCCGTGATCCTGAAGCTCAGAAAGTGGTGGCTCTCGCATGAGCGCTGGGCACACTCGTCTTAAGAGTTCCAGAGTTTCACGGGTTGAAGGCGGGCCGCTTCCAAAATGGGGTTCTCGCCTTAGCGTCGCGCACACTCGTCTCAAAAATGTGCAAAAAACTTCACGGATGAAGGGCGGGTCGTTTTAAAAATGTGGCTTTCGCCGTAGCGCCGCGCACACTCGTTTTAAAAAGTTACAAGAGTTTCACGGATCCGCATGGTTAACACACCAGAAACGGTGTTTTGCAACGACTCAGAATTGTCAAGGCGCAGCGGTTACGTTGATCCGCGGTACTGAAGTCTCAGGAATGGCTTTCTGGCACGCTTCACGACAGTTAATACGCAACTGTAGGTTGACTCGTGGCGTTGGAGTCTGGAGAATGGTAATTTGGCACGCTTAAGGATCGTCAAAAGGTTGTCTCCCAACGGGGCACTTCCCCTAGTGGAAACGAATCTTATAGGGGCCTGTGAAGAGGAAGGGATCTTGGAGGGAGGGTTCATTCCGACATCGTAGATGATTCTTGGGTTTACACTGGTCCTCATCCTCCCCCTCCTCCTCGACCTCCTCCTCGTCCTCCTCCTCCTCCTCCTCCTCCTACTCTTCCTCCTCCTCCTCCTCCTCCTACTCCTCTTCCTCATCTCCCTCAGCCTCCTGTCCTGCTCCTCCTCCTCCTCCTCCTCCTCCTCCTCCTCCGCCTCCTGCTCGTCGCACCCCACCACCACCACCACCACCACCACTCCCGCCGACCCCGCACCCCACCACCACCACCACGCTCCATGGGTCGCGCGCCGTTGCCTCGCATCAGACGGGTCGGGGGGTCGCAGTCAGCTACGGCCAACTCCAGCAAAGAATGAAATGGCCCACCGCGAACTGTTGAGTGCGACTTGCCCCAGTCCGCTTCACAAGACCATGCAAGGCACGACGAGAGAACATAAGACGGGCGAGCGAGCGACGTGACAGACAAACGGACGAACGAATCGGATGGACGGACAGGCTGTTAGACTGGCACGCACACTCCACATCTCTATGCATACGTTTACACACATATGTGTCTCTCTCCCTCTCACAATGGGTTTCCGCCGCGGCTGGGGGAACGCGCAGTCCACCAGCCTGACCCAAAAAAATTAGCCCAGCGCTTGGCCACATTGCAGTTTCCGAATGCTGGGGGGGCGGCGGTGTTCCGCCGCACGCGTCTTCGACAGCGGGAAGCACGGCACAAAAGCGTGTGCATACACACAAAGACACATGTGTCCAGGAAGAAAGAGAGAGCGATCTACAAAGGATAGACATACGAAGACAAGCATAGCTGTGTGCTGTTGTATACATGTAGAGATACCCACACGCACGTAAACGTGTATACACCTATGGCTATAGAAAAGGAGATGGGGAGGAAGAGGTAGAAGGAAAGTTGCAGGCGTAAGCAATGAAAGATAACAGAAAGGGGCGAACGGACCTGGCAGGATAGGGCAGAGAGAAAACGAGATAGAGGGAGAGAGACAGGCAGAGAAAGAGCCAGAGAGAGAGAGAAAGAAAGAAACAGAACAGTAGAGAGACAGACAGGCAGGCAGACAGACAAGAAGACAGGCAGACAGACAGCCATGCAGACTCAATGACAGTGCAAGACAAGACAACACAAGACAAGACAACACAAGACAAAAAAACAGAAAGGCACAGAGAGACAGACAGACAGGCAGACAGACACAGACACACACACACACACACAGAGACACACAGACACAGACAGACAGGCAGACAGACAGACAGCTAGACAGACAGACAGACAGACAGACAGACAGACAGACAGACAGACAGACAGACAGACAGACAGACAGATAGACAGGCAGACAGACAGACAGGCAGGCAGGCAGGCAGGCAGACGGGCAGACAGACTGACAGACACACAGACAGACAGGCAGGCAGGCAGGCTGACACACACTCAGATAGACAGACAGACAGGACGACAGGCAGATAGAAAGAGAGAAAAAGATGGATAAACAGTGATGGGCGAGAGAGGGAGAGAGACAGACAGACAGACAGACAGACAGACAGACAGACAGACAGACAGACAGACAGACAGGCAGACAGACAGACAGACAGACAGGCACACAGACAGACACAGACACACAGACACACAGACAGACACAGACACAGACACAGACACAGACACGGACACAGACACAGACACAGACGCAGACACAGACACAGACACAGACACAGACACAGACACAGACACAGACAGACACACACACACAGACATACAGACAGACACACAGACACGCAGACACACAGACAGAGAGAGAGAGAGAGAGACAGAGAGAGATCGCAGAACATGCTCAGGCATCGGTAGCGGCACATTACTCTGGCACGGCGCTGAAAATGCCGCGTCCTGGGGCGGACCAGACAGACGACCGCCGTGCACCCCATCCACTTCGGGTCCTGCCCCCCGGGAAACAAGAGCAAGAAATGGAATTCAACATGTACAGGGGCCGACAACGAGGAGGAAGAGGAGGAGCAGGCGGAAGAGGAGGCGGAAAGGCGCAATGCCCTAGAAAGAAAGAAATCGGAACGCAGGAGGGCGCAAGCAGCTGATGGACGGGAGAAGAGCAACGAGTGACCAATGTGCCGAGCAGCACAGGCAGGCCACGGAGGAGGAGGAGAAAGGAGAAAGAAGCTGACGTGCAGTGTATGCAGGGGGAGGTGAGGGGAGGAATCGTGGCCGTTGTGGCTCAAGGCTCACTCTGGCTCATCCTCCTCCTCCTCCTCCTCCTCCTCCTCCTCCTCCTCCTCCCCCTCCTCCTCCTCCTCCTCCTTCTCCTCCTCCTTCTCCTCCTCCTCCTCCATCTCATCATCCTCCTCCTCCTCCGATCCCCTGGGAGTTCGATAGTCGGTCCTCTGTCACTGTGAGGGTACTGAGCATCCCGCCAGCTCGCCTCGCCATTCCCTCGCTTCTCGACCACAATGGCAACACCAACATCATCATCATCATCATCATCATCATCATCATCATCATCAGCAGCAGCAGCAGCAGCATCTTCATCATCATCATCAGCAGCAGCATCATCATAATCATCATCATCATCGTCAGCATCATCATCACCACCACCATCATCATAATCATCATCATCATCATCATCATCATCATCAGCATCATCATCAGTATCCTCGTCAAGCTCTTCGTCCTCGTCATCATCATGGTCATCATCAGCAGCAGCATCATCACCATCATCATCATCATCAGCAGCAGCAGCAACAGCAACGACATGAACAGTCTTATTGTCTCCCCTACCATCCTGCTACTCATCATCATTGCATTCCCCATCCCACACACCATCATTAGAAGCATCGGCATCACGATTGACAGCATCATTAGCAGCAGCAGCAGCAGCATCATCATGGCCTATATCATCGTCATCGTCATCGTCATCGTCGCATCATCGCATCATCATCGTACCACCGCCGTCAGCATCAAGAGCATCATGATCACCACCAAGATCATCATCGTCGTCATCATCGCATCACCAAATCACCATTATCATGGCAATGGCTATGATCCTCATCCTCAGCATCATCCACCTTTTTCATACAGCAGCGATAACCGCAGACATGGTGACCTCTTACAGTGACACGTATGTACCCAGAGGGCGTGTTTGTGTATGTGTGTTCCCAAAGGCTCGTGAGCTAAATATGCTCTCCCGCTCTGGGTATTCGCTACTGGCGCTGTGCTGGATAACATCCTGCGGGACACTTTCTGGGAAGGAGGAACGCTACTGGAGTCCCCGACCACGTTGGTCGGCAGGTGGTAATTGTGCTGCTCAACCAACCGCAGTCGTTAACGTCAGGTGTAGTTGATCGGATGAGAGTGCGGTAATCCGAAATTGGTCCAGTGCACGTCCTTGTACCCATTGAGAGAGATGTCTCCCGATGGTCGCGCCCACGGCCTCGCTGTTCAACTCGTGGAGAACTCTGGAAAATGATGCGGGCCCCTGCACAGTGCAGAGTGGCGCATCAAACCCGCAAGGCGCAAGGATAATCCTGAAGCCTAAACATCCCCCTAGCTCCCCCCACCCCGTCCTATCCGTCCTCCTCCTCATCCTCCTCTTCCTCCCCATCCTCATCTTCATCCCTCCGACTCTCTCCGGCATGTCCCTTCTCCGTCGTCGTCTTTCTGATCCTCCTAGTGATACTTGTCCACTCCAACCTCTTCCTCCCCCTAAGTATTATCCTCCGACTCATCCCTCACCTCCTTCTCCTTCCCCTCGTCCTCACGCTCTTCCCCATCCTCATCCCCATCCCCCCTTGAACTCCTCCTTTTCGGGCGTAAGGAGGGAAAGGACAAGAATCCGGATGACAGGGACAAGAAAAGGACGAGGGAGGACGAGGGAAGGGGGAGGAGAAGACCAAGGAAGGACGCGGGGAGGCCTTCCCAACCCTGGCGCCGCGGCACCGAGCACCCGGCCCTACCCTGGTCTCCGCGCTGCGACCGCCCCGGCCGCCGGGCCGACTCGCGGAGGCGTCCGTGAACGCCTGCAGATCCGTCTCGCCCGTCTCCTGGCGGAGGAGGAGGAGGAGGAGGAGGAGGAGGAGGAGGAGGAAGAGGAGGAGGAGGAGGAGGAGGAGGAGGAGGAGGAGGAGGCGAAGGGGGCCCTGAGATCCGATGCTCCAACAAAAAAATCGGGGCGGGCGGCTTCTGCCACTCTTCGGCCTCCGGGGGCCCCCCCGCCGGGCCTCGGCAGCGTCCCAGACAGGACTCTCGGGACGAAGCGCCAGGCATCGGGGAAGGGGTGCGGACCTCCGGGGGTTCCAGGCCTCGGAGAAATGGGAGCAGCCGGACGTCCTGGGGGGGAGGAGGGTCGAGAGGGGAAGGGGGGCGGGATCGGGAGCGGCCAAGAGGGGGGTATCTGAGAGGGTGGGGGTGCAACTCGTGACCGGCGGCATGTGCGCGGCCCAGCGGGGGGGCCAGGGACGTACTGAAGCAAGGCGGGGCGCCATGAGATCTGGGGGAATATCATGGCCCCCGCCATGAGGTCCACCCCCCCCTGGTCATCACCCCCCTCTTTGCCGCCCCCGACGGGAGGAGATGGGGCAGGAGGAGGCGGGACGGAGGAGGGCAGAAGGACGAGGGGTGCGAGAGGGGGGAGGGGGCGGGGGAGAGGGCCCCTCCTCGGGAAGGCCCGCGACGACGACGACGACGACGACGACGACGACGACGACCGACGACGACGACGACCGACGACGACGACGACGACGACGCCGACGACGACGACGACGACGACGACGACGACGACCGACGACCGACGACCGACGACCGACGACCGACGACCGACGACCGACGACGACGTCGCCGCCGCCCTGCACGCCGCCGCCGAAAAGCCGCCGAGGGGCCCCCCCGCGGGATGCTGCCCCAGTACGCAGGCCCTCCCCCCCCGAGCCCCTCCCAGGGCCTGCTCTCCACCAACGTGGGGAGGCGGGGCGGGAAAGGGGGACTCGACGAGCGCGTTCCACTGCTCGCAAAGCAACTGCTCGCAAAGGGCCTGGATCCGCAGCGGGGGATCTACGGTAAATCCGCCGACCCTGTCGGCGTGTGCGAGGGGCTTCCTCGTCCGTTCCTCGCCGCCCCCCCTTCTTCCTTCCCCCTTTTTTCTTTTTGGGCCGTACCCTCCTGCCGTCATGCCGTTGTCGATTCGAAGGGAAGCCCCTTCCCTTTGATCCCTTCCCCAGGGGGGGGGGGTCCCGGGGAGGGTGGGGGGGTGGGTGGGGGGGCAGATTCGTTTTTCCTCGGGCGGCCTCGAAACCTCGAAAACACTCCAAATGAGGTCCGAATGCCCAAGATGGCCCCCGAGACGGCCCAAGAGTGCCCCGAGTCGCCCAAAGATCGGCCGAAGACGCCCAAGATAGCCCCAAGACCGTCCAAGAAGCCTCCAAGACGTCCCAGGCCCCCTCCAAGAGCACCCCCAAGAAGGGCCCAAGAGGCCACACTCATTACTTTTCCATCGGAACTTACATTTCTAGCATATACGACGTTTCGGCCTTCACGGCGTCACAGACAGCTTCGTCTTCAGGGTCGGCGGCACCGGCCGTAAGGCCTTCGCAATCTCATCGAAGCAAACACATGTTTTTCGGACGTCTGCGAGTAGGCACTTTGCGAATAGTGGAACGCTCTTGGTGAGGGACAAAAAAGATGGGGCCTTGGCGGGCCCTGGAAACGACAGGGCCGTGTCTGTTGCCGGCTGCCTTGTGCAATTCTTGCTGCCGGTTCCGGCGCCATGTTTGTTCCCGGCATCATCACGGTTTTCTTTTGTTGTATTATTGCTCTGGTCACGGCTCTACGTAATCCTGGAGCTGCATGTGTGCCCTGCTTCTGGGCGCAGTTGCTGTACCTTTGTCGGGCGCGGCCTGACCGACCCCTAGCAAACCGTCCCAGAAACAAGCTGGGGGAATACCAGCCCCAGAAAACGCCCACTAATAGAGGCCTCCTAGATGGAACCGAGTAGATGGGGTCGGAGGATCGCGCCGCATCGCCGATACATCGGCGATGCATCGGCGATGCATCGGCGACGCGTCGGCGGTGCATCGGCGACGCCAGCGCGGATTATCTTGAGCCCCACATCGAGCCGCATCGGCGATGCGTCGGCGATGCGGCGCGATCCTCCGACCCATCTGCTCGGACCCCATCTAGGCGGCCTAGATCTACTAGGGCTCCCAACTTCGCGCTTCGCGCTCCGCGAAGCGCGAGGCGCGAATAACTTCGCGCTCTCGCGCCGCCCCCCCAAAGGGAGAAAAGGAGGACGAGGAGGAAGGGGAGAAGGAACGAGGACCGCGAAGCGCGAAGCGCGAATAACTTCGCGCCCTCGTGGGAGCCCTTGATCTAAGGGGTGTGGACGAGGGGCGAAGCCCGGGAGCGGGGGGCGGGCGGGGGGCGGCGGGCACGACGCAGGCGGAGGGGGCAGGGGAAGGCCCTCTGTGGCATCCAGGGGGCGCGGGCGGAGATCGGCAAGGCGGGGGCGGGGACGAAGGAGCCGAGGGGGGGCGGGGACCTGGAACGGACGAGGGCGGGGGCGGAGATCGGAAAGGCGGGGGCGGGTACGAAGGAGCCGAGGGGGGGCGGGGACCTGGAACGGACGGGGGGGGGGGCGGCGGCGAGGGCGCGGCGTCGCGCCTTTGGGGTGACGGGGCGGGGGCCGACTGCCGACTGCCGACGACGACGACGACGACGACGACGACGACGACGACGACGACGACGACGACGACGACGACGACGACGACGACGACGACGACGGCGGCGGCGGCGGCGGCGGCGGCGGCGGCGGCGGCGAGGGCGAGGGCGAGGGCGAGGGAGACGTCGAAAAGGGCGAGGGCGATGGCGAGGACAACAATAAGGACAACGGCGGCAAAGGTGCCGTCGTCGGCGACGACGGCGATGAGGGCGCAGCCCCTGAGAAGGCCCAGCTCAGAGCGCCAGCAAGGCAGCATGCGAGCTGCTGAGGGGTGCTGCTGCTCGTGCCTCCCATGGGAAGGTCGTGGGGTGCACTAAAATCGAAGCCTGCGCTACCGCATGCAGGCCAGAGCGGCAGCGGTGCTTGCAGCATGAGCCCCGAGGCAGGCTGGTGGCTCCTCATGTGCTGCCCGCGCTCCGCGGAGGGAGCGTGGCGGGCCCGGCACGGCGCCTGCGATTTCGCATGCAGGCGCTGAGCAGGGCACCGCAGGCCGAGGAGCGAGACGCCACTGCGCAGCCAGGCGTGTGTGCTGCGGGTGTGCCCGCGTCGGCAGCACCAGTACAGGCCCCGCTCTCCCGTGGGGGGGACTGTGGAGCAGCGAGTGGGAACCGAAGCAGCAACGTGAGTGCAGCCAAATGCAAACCATAACAGGTGCGGGGCGGGCCCATCCGGCCATGACTCACGGATGCATCGCGGCGTGCGCATCCGGGCCATCGGTGGCGCCATGTGCATCGCGGCCGCAAGGATGGGCCTGCGCAGCACTCGTGGATGAGCAGCAGCAGGATAAAAAATGGGAGGAGAAGGAGCAAGACTAGCATTACTTTCTGGCTTGTGCGTGTCATCCTTGGAGCGCTCTTCCTCCACCTATTCCGCCCCACGCGAAAGGCCCCTGGGAGACCTTGAAGAGCAGTAGTGGCTCCGACTGTGCCTGATCAGAGATCGCATAAGCTTTCAATCAACTGTTGGTTTTGCCTCTGACTGCTCAGAGGTCCCAGAGGGCTTCAATGGAAATAGTGGTTCTGACTACGCCTGCTCAAAGATTTCAACCAAAAAAAACCTGTAGACACAATGTACGCAAAAGCTGGAGAACCCCGAAAATCTCCAGAATATACGAGCAGGCGCAGACGAAGCCAACACTTCGACTGGAAAAGTCCGAGGTATCCCAGCAGGCACTGGCGGAACCAACACATGTATTGGAAACCTATGGTACATGCGAGCTGGTGCAGTCAAAAACCAACAAGCATGTACTTGCTACTTGGTTTGACTTGCCACTATTTTCCCTCTTCTTCCTCCTCCACCTCCTCCTCCTCATCATCCTCGTCCTCCTTCCCTCGACTCTTCTTTCTTGTTATCTCCACTCCACATGTAAACCCAGTTGGCAGGCATCGGAAGGGCGCGTAACGCTTCAGTCTCCGAAGAAGCCAACTCCGACTTGAGAAGGACCCGTCCCCAATTCCACCAGAAATGCAAAAAGATTCGTTGAGGAGCCCCATGAGCTTCGAGACATAGTGTACGCGGCGCTGGGGCGAGATCCGCATCTTGAAAACCACCCGCCCTCCATCCGTGTAGCTGCGTGCTGTGGAAACACATTCTAGGGGCGGGCGGACACTGTGGGGTATCCTCTGGCGAAGCGACCCCCCCACCCTACCGACACGTGGCGAGCGCCGGAAACCCAGAACCCACAGAGGTTGCCATCTCTTGGGGGCGCATCGTTTAGCTCCGCCGGCTTCCCCAGCCTTCCGCTGGCTTCCACCAGCGGAGCCGCCCTTGTTTTAACCCTGCTAGCTTCCCCCGCCTTCCGCCGAGGAAGAGATGCCAACTCCGTCGATCCTCGAGGGCAAGGACCTTCCTGGAGCGCGCCACGTCCAGTGGTGCAACGAGAAGTAGCATCTGAAAAGGCAAAAGAGAGATGGCAACTCCTTCGATCCTCGAAGGCGAAGCCCTTTCGGAAGCGCGCCGCGCCTTTTGCTTCGACGAGGAGGAACTCCTCAAAACGAAAAATGGGGAAGCGAAAGAGAAGAATGGCAGGGAGCAGGACGAGGAAGAGCTTCTTAAGAAGAAGAAGAAGAAGACGAAGAAGAAGAAGAAGGCGAATAATAAGAAGAGAAGAAGAGGAAGAAGAAGACGAGGAAGAACAAGACGAAGAAGAACAAGACGAAGAAGGAAAAGAAGATGAAGAAGAGAAGAAGAAGAAGAAGAAGAGGAGGAGTGATTGGAAGACAAGGAGGCCGCGGGCCCGCAGGCGCGCCGAGCCGCCCCCCCAAAGGCAGCTCCCACAGCATGTCGTCCATCTTGTGGAAGGCGGCGATGAGGGCGCTGTGCGGGTCCTCGGGGAAGGGGGGGATGGGGGGGAGGGGAGGCGGGAGAGGGGAGGGGAGGGAGAGGGGGGGGGAGGGGGGGGGAGGGGAGGCTCTTTGTTCTTAGCCGCGAGGCCTCCGCCGGCAGCCAACGGAACGCATGCGCCACTCCCTGACATGCCGTGGCACGGCGTCCGCCGCCGCGCCACCGTCCACGAGCATCGCAAGCCCACGGAGAAGGAACGAGGGAAAGGAGGAGGAGGAGGAGGAGGAGGAGGAGGAGGAGGAGGGGAAGGTGGGGAATCAGGGGTGTGCGGAGGAGGAAAAGGAGGGGGCACGGTGCCGAGGGGGGAGCGGGGGGACGGGGAAAGCGGCATGGCACGGCACGGCGCGCCCTGCACACCACGGCGGCGCACGACGGCACGGCTCGCCGCGGCGCGCGACGCTCGGGGGGCACGGAACGCTCGACCGTGGAACGCCACGCCCGCCCCCCGCCATCGTCGACAGGGGAACCGGCTGGGCAGAGATGACTCGCAGCGAAGCGGCGAAAGCCCTCGCAGCTCTGACCGTGCGGGGGGGGGGAGCGATGCCCCGCCAAGAAGCCCGAGCAGGGTGCGCAAGAGGAACGCGGAATGAACTCGGCCTTGCGCGTGTCGGAGGACCGAAACTGCCAACGCTGCGCTACACATGCGGGCAAAGGTCTGCCATCCTTGATCGCACAGCCGTTAGCACAACAAGCGCTGGCCTCATGATTATGGATTACAGGCGAGCATCCACGACGCCCTTCCTCGTTTGGTTACAGAGCGTGCGCCCGTACACTCCTCCTCATCAGCCTCATCATCCTCGTCACCCTGTCCTCCTCCTCCTCCTCCGCCGCCTCCTCCTCCTCCTCCTCATCCTCCTCCTCCTCCTCTTCCTCCTCCTCCTCCTCCTCCTCCTCCTCCTCCGTCTCCTCCTCCTCTTCCTCCTCCTCTTCCTCCTCCTCCTCATCATCACCACCATCATCATCAGCATCATCAGCAGCAGCACCCTCACCACCACCAGCATCACCATCATCAGCATCATCACCATCACCATCAGCATCATCACCATCGTCATCATCATCATCAGCAGCAGCAGCAACATGATCATCAGCATCAGCAGCAGCATCATCACCATCATCATCGTCATCATCAGCATGATCGTCATCGTTATCATGGGCATCACCATCATCGCCATCATCGCAATCATCATCATCATCATCATCATCATCATCATCATCATCATCATCATCATCATCATCATCATCATCATCATCATCATCATCATCATCATCATCATCATCATCATCATCATCATCATCATCATCATCATCCCCATCCCCATCCCCCTCTTCATCATCAGCCTCCGTTTCCTTCTCATCCATTCCATTTCCTCATAAATAACTTTCCCCTGTCGCACCCCGAAGCCTGTTGTTAGGGCGGGCCGGGCGTTTCGCCTGAGACTCCCTCACACCTATGACCCTGAAGTTTCAAAATTGGCACCAGCTTCACAGACGGAGGGCGGGTGGTTTTCAAAATGTGGCTCTCACCTTATCGCCGCGCACATTCGTTTTGAACATTTGCAAGAGCTTCGCGGGTTGAGGGCGGCTCGTTTTCAAAATGTGGCTCTCGACTTATCGCCGCGCACATTCGTTTCAAAATTTTGCAATAATCTCGCGGATTGGGGGGGCGTTTTCAAAATGTGGTTATCGCCATAGCGCCGCGCACACTCGTTTCAAAAAAACAAAAAAAACTGATTGAAAGCGGGTCGTTTTCAAGATGTGGCTCTCGCATTAGCGCCGTGCACAGTCGTTTGAAAGTTTGCAAGAATTTCACGGATTGAAGGGCGGGTCGTTTTCAAAACGGGGCCCTCGCATTACAAGAAGAGTCCGAACCGAACTGGTAACCGTGAACCGGCGGCTCCTGCAACCGGACCGCCCGAACCGGAGCCCGAACCGGACCGGCTGAAACCGGACCGGGCGGTTCGAACCGAACCGGCCGGTCGAAACCGGCCCGAACGGCAAGCCCGAACCGGGTGGAACCGAACCGGGCCCCGGGACTTCCCACCGGGGGGGGGTGCCGGCACCCCCCCCCCGGTGCCGGCACCCCCCCCCGGTGCCGGCACCCCCCTCGGGGGTGCAGCAGGGCGCGGGGGGGGGCAGCCCGACGCGGATTGCGGACGCACCCCCTGCGCACCCACTCAGACGTCCAGACAGTGCCACGCCTGCCGTGCCCTGCTAGTCTGCAGCGGATAGAGACCGGATAGCGCCCCCACCCCCTGCGCACCCCCTGTGGTGTCGAGAAAGTGCCACGCCTGCTGTGCCTGGACGAGAAGCGCGCATAGCGCCCCCACCCCCTGCGCACCCCCTATGGTGCCACGCGCGTGTGTGTGATGTGGTGTGTGTGTGTGGTATGCGTGGTGCGCGTGTCGTGTGGTGTATGTGTGTGGTATGTGTGTGGTGTGTGTGTGGTGTTGTGTAGTGTGTGTGTGTGTGTGTGTTGTCTGATGTGTGCTGCGTGTGTGTGCGTGTGTGTGCGTGTGAGTGAGTGTGGTCGGTCCCAGAGAAAACCATAAACCCACTTAACATGTGGGGAAAACCAGAAACTCCTGGGAGACCCCGGGAAACTCTATACGGACCCCTGGAAGCTGATGATGATGATGATGATGATGATGATGATGACGATGCCGCTGATGATGAGGATGGTAGTATAACTTAATGCTCGGGTTCTGGACGATCCCACACCAAATAACAAGAGGAGGCGGGGACCAGACTTCAACCTTGAACGCCCGGGGGCGCCCGCCTTCAGCCTTGAACGCCCAGAAGGGGGGGAGGGGAGGCGAGCTGGGCAGACCGCGGGTGGGCGGGCCCCTTTGGCGGCCCTCCCGCGCGAGGGCAGGGGGCCGCCTCCGGGGCACCCGGGTCCGTGACGGACCACCCCACCAGCAGTCGGCCGCCAGCCCCCCCGCCGGCCCAAGAGAGCCCCCGGAGGAGCCCAGAAGACCCCCCCCCCCCCGGCGCCGGCACCCCCCCCCCCCCCCCCCGGGCCCCCCCCCCCCGTGCCGGCACCCCCCCCCCCCCCCCGTGCGGCACCCCCCCCCCCGGTGCCGGCACCCCCCCCCCCGTGCCGGCACCCCCCCCCCCCGGTGCCGGCCCCCCCCCCGGTGCCGGCACCCCCCCCCCGGTGCCGGCACCCCCCCCCCCGGTGCCGGCACCCCCCCCCCGGTGCCGGCACCCCCCCCCCCCCGGTGCCAGCGCCCCCCTCGGGGGTGCAGCAGGGCGCGGGGGGGGGGAGGCGAGGACCCCCTCCTCCCTCCTCCTCCTCCCTCCTCCTCCTCCTCCTTCTCCCTCCTCCTCCAGGCGGCAAAGCAGCTCCAGGCGGCCGAACCCCGGGCCCCCGGAGGCCCGCGTTTTCCGGCCCCGGGGCCGCGGAGACGAGGGGAAGAGCGGCATGAGGGAAGGGGCCGAGAGGTCCGGGGGCGCCCGACGACGACGACGACGGCGGCGACGACGACGACGACGGCGGCGACGACGACGACGACGACGACGACGACGACGACGACGACGACGACGACGACGACGACGACGGCGACGACGACTGCAGCGAGGCACCTCGCCGGGCGCGGAGCCGATGGGCGCGCGAGCCTCCTCGCTCCGCGCTCCTGGCACCTCGCTCCTCGCCCACCTCCTAAACCTCCTCCTCCTCCTCCTCCTCACTCCTCCTCCTCCTTCTCCTCCTCCGGCCCAAAACCGGCCCCCCCAAAACCGGACCGTCCCGCGACCGCCGAACCGAACCGGCATAACCGACCCGGACTGGCAAAACCGGACCGACCAAAACCGGACCAGCGCCGAAATCGAACCGCTGCAACCGAACCGGTCCGCCGCCGAACCGGCCCGAACCGGCCCGAACCGGACACTTCCTGGCATTCGCGCCGCGCATATTCGTTTTCGAACTTTGCCAGGATTTCGCGAGCTCCCAAGATCAACATACCAGAACTGGTGTTTTGGAAAAATACAAGGTTATGAGGACGCAACCGTGATATTGATTCGCGGAGTCGAGGTTCCAGGAATGGCTTGCTGGCACGATTCAAGATCGTCAAGACGCAACAGTCAGGTTGATCCGTGGCGTTGGAATCCTGAAAACAACGTTTGGGCATGCTTCAGTCGTCAAACAGCTGTCTTCCAACGAGGCAGTTCTCTCAGTGGAAATGACCGTTGAGGTGCCGATAAAGAAGGAGCTTGGAGGGAGGGTCTAATCCGGCATCGTTGCTGACTCTTGGGTTTACACTGGTTTTCCTCCTCCTCATCTTCCTCCTCCCTCTCCTCCGCCGTCTCCTCCTGCTCCTCTTCATCATGCAACACTGCGACGCTGCGAAGTCTTGCACGGCAACATGCCACTACAGAACAAGACAAAACTTGACCTCGAGCTTCACCAGCACTATCACTTGCCCACCTTAAGGAGGAGCCTGGAAGGTGGGGCATAAGTGACAGCGTTAGACCTGCATCCCCGCAGATTGAGGCGACCTGTCCTCCCAAACCTTCTTCAAATCCTTCTGCTCAAAGGAGGGGGTAGGGCAGCAGGGCCCTCGACGCACGGGACGTGCCGCAATGCAGACACCTCCAACGGAAAACCACGGGCAAAGACGACGGCTCCCGCAGGGCCACCCACAACGGATGCTGATACCCTTCCTGGTTGGCTGCGGCGAACAGAGAGGCGACCGTCGGGAAAATTCAAAATACATCGAACAAATCAGCAACCTAGTCCCGGCCCTGCGGCACTGTCGAAACCTCCATGGGCAACGATCACAGACAGGGTCGCGGGGCCTCGCAAGGGACGGGACCCCCTCTAGCCCCCCGAAGTCCAAGACAAGGTCCCAGAGAGGGCGTGTAAAGGAGGCCAGCGCACAAGGACCTGGAGCAAACTCAAGGCAACTTGATTGCACAAACTACGCGCGTCATAAGCCTAGTCAAGCCATATACAGACATTTGTTTCCGCAGCGCAGCCATCTCC